CACACTATAGAAAAGTGGAACGCCTGGAGCTGTGTGTGCCATTTTGCTTCTTTGTATCAAAATATGATATGATAGGAGTTTTCCACCAGTGGCAGACTATTCGACCTTGCAAACACAGCCTCCCTCTTTCATTCCTTCAATTATTATCTTGAAAAGGTTGTCGTTGCGATATTTGCCCATATCCAGAAACTGCCCATGTCGAAAGAATGCTCATAAAACTTCAGTAATACCAGCATGCCCCATGTCTTACTCGGAAAGTGCTGCATTCAGGAAAAGGCCGAACTCAGAATATCTAAATGGAATATGCTATATCGTCATATTCTGAATAATAGTGGAATATTAGTGTGCATGTAAATGTAGCCGATGATGAAAGCTTTTGCAGCTGAAACATACTGGTCTTCACTCTTTGTCTTTTGTTCTTCAAGAGCAGCAGGATCCTTTTAATAACTTCAGGCATGAAGGCAAACTCAGAGGATCACTTGTGAGTGAGCTGCACCTCACACTTCCCCAGATGGCCCCTGTCTATCTTTAAGATTTATCAGACAAAGACACATTGAGGAGCCCTTAAAGCTAAGCAGCACTTGTTTTATTGAGTGTAAAACAGGCCAACGCTGAGATACAGTACATATGAAACATAAAAGCACGATGGTGCCCACTGTGAGTAGAATAATGCATAACATGTAAGGTACTGTGAAAATGACCCCATCACTCATGCTGAGCCAACAGCAATTGCCGGAGACTGCTGTGGTTTGCCGCTCTCACTCCATTAGCCCACTGGAGGAACGCTCTTTTCTTAGTTTCACACCATTTTCTTTTGATTCTGCAGAGAACAGAGTAAAAACCTGCTTGAATACATTGAAGTTACAATGTGTAATTTACGTGGTTGTTTATTAGCAAATATCAACTATTGCTTTCATAAATATATATTTACTAAAGTGTAATGCAATTCACATACAAATGGAAGCTTTCTCATAGGCTTAGAATGATTTCTCTATATATACACAGGCAGGGCGCGGTATGCTGGAGGCTGCCTTCTTGCGTTGCCATATTTGAATACAGTGGCCAAAAGGGATATACGCGCTTCGCCTTTCACGTTTACCTACAACTTGCCATCACTGGAGATGGTTAAGGTGAAGCTCAATCCGGGGCGCTTCTGCGTGAACCTGCTTTGTACTTTTATGATTCTGTCGCACTTTAAATGGAGGACCACACATATGTTTTGCCCCGTAAGAGGGAAACCACGCCACCAAATAAAAGAAAAAGATCAGATAAGCGAGGACGGGACAAAACGAGAGTGAATATCAGCGTTGCTTATTCCAGTGGTCGAAAGAAATCCTGAAGGAGAAGGGTTTCACAAGGGATGCGGAGGTTGCCTGCTTTCTGCTAGACAGGTAATTCAATCTGATATTTTAAAATCATTTTGGCTTCATGTTTGCAACTACTTTACCCCCTCGTCTAAGTTCGAGTGACGGCTACGTTTACGTGCTAACATTATCCTAGCCTTGGCTAACGTTATCCCAGAACTACAGCTAAATGGTTAGCCTAGCCTACAGCCTAATCTGTTGATTCCTCTCGCGCTGCTGCGAAGGCTGCCACCCTCTCCTCCTCCTCTTCCCTCTGGGTAGCCGGTCTTCCTCCTCTCCCTCTCCCTCTTCCTCATCTCCCTGTGTCCTGTGGAAGAACACTCTGGAAACGCATGTATTATAATCGTACCAACCTATATTTGCCGCACTGTGCCGTGACTATCCCATAAAACGTGTTACTGTAGCATTACTGTGCTAATGTTTGTTCGTGTTACCAAAACAATTAGAAATAAAACACTCCTAACATAACGTTATATCTCACAGATAACCTATATCTCACTGGTAAGCTATAACATATCGTAACATGGTTTAGATTCCTAAATAAATATTCACCTCGTCGCTAGATACTCCTGAAAAACTCAAAAAACTCTGCTGTCTGTGCAAGGCTTTTTGTCCTACGAGGCCACCGTAACTTACCCGACGGGAGGGGTGAGTGAGTGAGCGTGAGTGAGCGCAAGTGAGCGCTGCAATCTAGAATTTGACCGCTGATGTCACTGTTACTCACCATTTTTACTCACTGAGGCTTTAAAGACTGAGAGCTGCACATACATACTGCATGCACCCCATACAGGCTGACCTGTGGTGGCTCCCCACATGTGCCTGTTATTTTCCCATGTTAAAAAAGCACTGTTGATAAGCCAATTAGAGACCCTACAGTGGAAATCACATCTCTGCTGCTTCCGCATTTGATGGTAAGCTGGAGAGTTTAAAGCACATTAAGAGGAACTTTTGCACTGAGAGGGAGAGAGAGCGCTAATGCACAGGGTGATTCAACTGTATAAACAAGACTGCTGTAATCCACTATAGCACGCTGTATACACTGTAATGATGTTGCCATTCCTGAAGACAGCATTTTTATTGTCTCAGTCACTTCACTAATACTAATCCCAATCTAAAGTACACACGCACACAAGTGAGACCTTTCACTGACACGTCGAACTGATGGAGCGTCACATTATGGGTGCTTTGGGCTCAGCCAGGGAGAAGAAACTGGAAATTTCACCGGTGGTAATGGAAATTGATCTGAGCAATTTGTTAAAACAGCGACGGGGGCAACTGTGTTGTGTCAAAAATGACATTTTGAGGTGGACACATACAAAGGCTATGCACACCTGAACCTAAATTGAGCAACCTCAGTATGTAATAGGTTCCAGGTCATTAGGCACAGCATCTGAGGGTATTAGTGGCTGGCTGGTGTGTGTACTGGATCTGAGTGCAGACGCCCCTCTTATGTTTTGCACTCTGGGGAATGGCAAGTTTCCTTATTAGAGAGGATAGATCACACTGACCTAATCTGCTATTATGCTTTCAAAGACTAGTGTGTGGTAATTTCATCACTTTGGCGAGTGAAGACAGTTAAGACGGACAATTTCTCAATATCACACTAATCAATCACTTTTACAGTGCATTACTGTGAGAGGGAGCTTCGCCCCATGGAGTGCTGCCTGATATAAATAGCTGATTGGCTTCCTTCATGGCTCTTTCTCAATTTCCATCAGTATTCTCTGCATGCGTCCTATGCACTCGCCCACCTCATGAACACACATGCTCATTCAGATCGGCTTCAGAGCAATCTCATAATGAAACAAACTCTTCGGCACGTTCTGCGGCACAGTGAAATTTTGTGGGATTGGCATCTGTTCAAAAGGGACTGAGTTTGCATGTGAATCTAAATTGGTCCAGTTTCACCCCTTTTAAAGACAACCATGTGGTGAATATTTGTTGACTTGCTGCTAAGTATGCAGGTTTAGCCAGGAAATGTGCTCTGCAAGTGTAAAATGAGTTTGTGTCACATCTCACGGATTCATTTTAAATGCCCTGGAGGTGCCCCACCCATTATGGACTGCCCTTTAATTACAACAGGCCGCTGCTCTTGTACTAAGAGTTGCACCTCAGATAATTGTGACACCTGTCGTGTTGCAGCAGCAAAACAAAGATGATGTGAACTTAAAGCTACAGTAGTAGGAGGTTCAGTCCCAATGTCCGGTCCCCTCCCCTGGCTTTCATTTGCGAAATGCCTCTCAAATTACCACCAGGAAGAGACTCAAAATGACCACAAAGAGAAGCAAAGGGACTGCAGAGACAAAATAACTACAAAACAGGCAAAACAACCACAAAGAGACACAAAACTACCACGAAAAGACCCAAAACTACCTCGGAGAGACACAAAACCTCAAAAGGTGCAAAACAAGTTTAAAAAAAGCAAACCCACCACAAAGTCTTACTAGTATTTAGGAGAGGTGGTGGGGCCTTTTGCATATCTGTGCCCAGGGCCCCATTGTCTAATAATCCGCCCATTGTAGGAGGATGTATCTATTGTAAAACAATGCCAAATAAAAATAAAAATTCACATTAAGATGCACTATTCATACACTTTTCCTTTAAAGACATAAAGTGTGCCTGTGGTAATGAGCAACAACCTTGTTATTTATGGTACTTTTATCACTTAACATTCCAACATTATTATGGTCTTACATTCGGGTCTTGTTACAGGTGATATTTTTATTGCATCCTAAATTTCCGTGTATGATAAGGCACTTTTTATGCCAAAGGAAGTCGGCTCACAGCAGGGCATATTGCCTTTAAATCAACAGTTCTTTAAAGGTGATGTCAAACTTTACTCTCCTGCCTCTGCAGAGCTTTAATACCCGCCATTTCCCATTCAAGTTCAATGCAAGTGTGTGCATTTGGTGTGATGCTCCTGCAGTCAAATCAGTCGGATTTGACAGGATTTGTCAAGTCACGTCACATGTCCTGTGGCCTCTCTGCAGCCAGACAATACACTTGGGGATGAATATGCACAACAAAAAACGTTATCCTTTTCTTAGAGGCATGTTGCGGATGTGCACATTATAATGAAGGATGGGCTGTCTCTGGCTTTCTTCTGCAACTGTGAGAGGATTACCCCCTCTTTTTTTTATGGTGGGAGGATATTCATGTTTAGCTTATTTGTCTACATGCTGGATATCCCATTTCCATTGATCTGGGCCAAGAGGAGTCCATGTCCCAAAGCAAAGTAAAGCACGAGGTGCTGCCTGTCTGAATAAGATGTGTGGGTGGTCAAGTTATTTGTGCCTGTGCTCACAAAGATGGGCATCCAAGATTGAGAAGGATAAGAAAATAAAAGGGCATTCATTACAGCCTGAATACAAAGTAGTAAACCCGCCTATAGGGGGGTGAATGTGTTTGTTTTTTTTTAAGTGCAGCAATGACCCAACACCTCCCCTCCATCCACCCCCTCCTCTTCCCCCTCCTCCTCCCTCCACCGTTGCAGTATCTTGTTGTGCTGGACCATGAGCTACCAGCCCAGCCCGGAGTATCGCAAACACCTCATAGCGCCTCCTCTAAATACGAACACGCCGTCATGTGAAAACATTTCCTCCTCATCCTCACCACAGGGAACACAAATCCCTCAGTTTCTCGTGTATGTATGCTTTAAACGCAGCCCAAATGACATCACATTGCTGCAGTGCTGCACTGTCCATGAAGGGTGTCAGTCGTTTCCTCTGATACCAAGAAAATTTGTCCACTGGCCACTTGGCTCTGCTCTGCTCCAGACATCATGGCGTGACAACGTGTATTCATTTATATCGGGGCTCTTATTACGCAGGTGGACGCCTGCATGAGGAGCAGAGGCGCATTTTCAAAGGCTGCCTGTTCTCTTTGGACGCAGCAAGATTTCCTGCCACATCCCGCCCGGAGAAATCGACCGCATCGCTTTGTTGAAGGAGCGGACAGACAAGTCATGTATGAAAACTAATTGCTCGCATGGGTACGCATAGTATAGAGAAGAAAGAGGAGGAAAAGCAGGGTATCCGTGCAGGGGTGGGATTCCTTCATTGCGCTTCAGACGGAGGAAGTTATGACAACAAATGGCTACAGTAATGGCAAACAGCTGCCAGTAAAGCAGGCGTGATAACTGCGCTTGTAGTGCTGTAATTACCAGAAAACCGGTGTTAACGGAGAGTTTTCGACCTTCCAGATATTTTTGGAGCCTGAATTTGACGCCAACCTTCAATTGTCAGAGGGGTTTTTTTTTCAAGAGCGCAATCCAAAAGAGCCCCGGACTGCAGTTTTCTGTCCTGACTCCATCCGTGCTGCAATTCATAACAAGCGTGAGATTTATTGGGAATTTAATCCACCGTATCCCTGCGTTACAAACCCGTTACGCGGGGGACTTGATACAACCACGTACTGACGCTTTAACCCCTTTTGAACAGGGCTCGGACGCAAGCCTCGGACTCTCCTGAGCTTTTGGATTTTTTTTAGGGGGGGGGGAGGATTTCGGCTTTTCATTTTCTGCCTTTAAGCCTCAATCGGATCGTACTGGGATTTAAGGTGGGGTTTTATCGCGACGCAGGTAACTGGAAGATATCCCACTGTCTCTTGTTGATGACACTCCAGCGGCACATTGTCGCTCATCACGTCCGTTGGATTCTTTTCAGCGCAAGCCCCCCTTTGCAAGATCCTAATGAGAAGGTTTTTACGCGTGAATTTGGAATAAATGAACTCCCGTTGCAATCCGAGAGTCGCTGTGAATTTATCCAGCGAGACAAGTGTGTGGACGGCGGAAATCATGTGCAATAGGATCAACCCTTCGGCATCTGCTTTATTAGTGCCACTTTTGGTAAGTCACTTAGTAGACTTGGTGAGAAATGTGCGATGGACTCTTGGCACTCGGGATGCATGTGTGGATGGATTTCTGCCTCTCTGACGAGCTGAGCAGTCTCCAAATCTGTGGTGTGCCGCATTGATTGTGCAAACAACTAAATGTAGAATAATAGGCCTGCAATTTGATCTCTATCTATCTATCTATCTATCTATCTATCTATCTGTCTGTCTGTCTGTCTATCTACCTATCTATCTATCTATCTATCTACTTATCTATCTAAGCATCATCTATTCTATTTCTTTGTCTTGCATAATGTGCAAATCTTTGCTCCACTTTAAAGGCAGCTATTCACAGGAGTCTAGCTGGATAATATGATGTCTGTCTTGCTGAGATGTGCTCAGGCTACTTGAGATAGTCAGTCCTCACGTGGTGGAGCAGTTACTGATAGTATTAGTGCTCTTATACAGTCTGTAAGATGCCCCCCCCCAAAAAAAAAACAAAAAACAGCCCCGTCATACTGGACGCTGTGCTGTGGCTCCAAACTGTGCAGCAGAAGATGGTTAAACAGTGACACATGAGTTGAATTCCCAGAGACTGGAGTGCCTGTGGAAATGGCCCGGGCGTGTCTGCATCAGCACGACGCAGAGACGAAGACTTTTCATAAATTAGCAGCAGTACTGAAATCCTCCCCATCAGGGCTCTGATTGCTGAGAGAGTGGGACACTTTGACTGTGTTGCCACGGAGCTTGAATGATTTGGAAAACTTGCTAATGTCCCCCTTTGAGTTGAGTTTAAATATAAATTATTCTTTTATTTCATGGTGAGTGGAGGCCTCGTCAAGATGTGTGCACTGTGTGTATGTGTGTGTGTGTGACTTAGAGGGCTGCACATCGCCTTTGTTTTTGACTATCAGCTAAGCAGGTTTAGAGATGATAAAGAGTTACAGAAGCACTGATGCAGCATGATAATAATCTCATGGGCGCTGTGAGTGAATGCTGGCAATTACGTTTGTACAGTAGCTGGAATTTTTAGCCCTTCTCATCATTTTTTTTTCCAGTTACCCAATAAGCTTGGCCTCCTTAGATTCAACTCAGCATTTGTACCAAGTTTGTTACACTCTGGCACTATTCTAATTTTGGCACGCAGGGCCGGTGAGGTCAGTGAAATATCTGTTTATCACTCAGAGGACACTGGCAACAACAGTTGGGAGAAGTGAGGGTCCAGGATGCCTGCGTGGAGGTAGCGAGGTTGTAAATCCGTTAGATTGAGGAGGGGTTAGATGTCAATATGCTTACACTAAAGTCGAGTGAACATCGCTCATATAGCTCTGCTTTATCCGCATAATACCTCCCAAGACATCCCCTGGGGAAGATGTAGGCATTGGCCAGCCGTGTTGCTACATCAGGGCGTGCAGTGAGTGTTGCTGCAGCTTGCAGTGCTATTGGAAAACAGTGACTACCAGCTGCATCTACTGTACGGTATACACCCTCCTTTACCCTTAGCGAGCCTCAACACTGTATATATGTTCCTACATGGCAGACTACCACCTCTTCACAGCTGTCGACTGAAATTACACAGTAAGATGAAAAATGAAAGTTGTCACATGGTCTTGGCATTGTTCAATAGTCTGACAGATGCCTTTTATGTCTAAGAGCAATAAAAGATCATACTGTACACATCATATAAGGCTTTTAGGATAAAAAGCACAAGCTGCAGCTCAGGGGTTCGGCTCATTGTTATTGTGAAGTGCTTCAGTAAAGGCTGAACCCTGTGTTTTGGACTGAGTGAACAGAGCAAATTGAAATAATGTTTTGTTAAAGCTGTGCAGCATACAGGTTTTAACATAAGGGACTTGAAAAGAATCCTAAAAACAGAGGTTAATGAGGTTTCTTCTTAGGAGGGTTGATACCCTTGAGCCTTTATTGGATTTGTAATTTGAATTAGCAGCGCATGCAGCAGGGCTCTTATGTATTTAGATGTCATTTTGACTAGCTGTGTGTTGCGAGTGAGTGGTGATGATCATGTCTCTGGCTTGTCAATGTGTTGCGGGATGTTACAGCAGAAGCTCAGAGCACTTGCTGTCATGCGTTCGCCTAATGAAATCAGGCAGGGTGGTCATTATCAACATCATGCATTATTGCCAACACTTCCATGTTTAGCACCGCCGGTGCAGGCAGGAAACCGAATGCCGAACAAATTCATATCTCAGCAGGTAATGCATAAAAAGAAAGTGACAATGCCATGTGTGCAAGGGTTTCTGCTTTCTAGGTTGCTGTATACGGACCATGGGGTGAGATTAATGGGGTCTGTTTGCTATGCCATTCTGTTGCATTGTGTTACAGCAGCTGCTCATGGTGCCGGTGTCATGTGTTAGCATTATGAAATCGGGAGTAGCACAGGGTTATCAGCCACTGCAGGAATGAGAGAATAACAGCAAGCACAAGCTATTGATCTGTATTCGGGAGTATAAAGGACTTCATAACAGATTGTATAAACCTGTTTTTGTTCTCTGTATAAGGCATATTAAAATAGCCATTTACTGTGAGTCATGGTTACAGACTGAGAATTGCAAAATACAGACATTTACTCCAAAGGTGACTTTTGAAGCTAATCAAAGCTATAATTCTGAAACTCAAAACGGCATACAGTTGGTGACTTTTAGCAGGCATTCAGCCCTGTACACAATTATGTACAGTGTCACAGCACCACACAGTAATGTGTGTTGGTTTGGAGGTGCAGAGGTAAGAGTCTGATCCCAGCGTTAAGTATAAGTAGTTTGCTGAAACTGAGAGAGGGTCAGTGTTCTTCTTATGTGAAGGAATTTTAATTTACACTTTTAAATCCAGGCTGCCTTTGCATTCATGCATTGTCTGGAAATAAACAACAAAGGATCAAAGGATGCCATGATGCAAACTGTGAGACTTAAAAGAAGTGATGTTAGTGAATTAAAAAAAAACTGTATTCTCTCGTTAATGTTTTGAATTCTGGACTCTGCATGCAGAACAGACCCAGTGAAGAAAGGAGGAAAATAAGTACCAATTAAGTTGTTATCAGTCGACAGAATGAGATAGATGTTTCTCCCAAGGCAAGTCAAGTTATTTAGTGCTCGAGAAGCATGAAAAAAAGTTGAAGCGATGGCGTAATTGCAACTAGCCAAAAAGATCAAAGGAGTAGCCACCAAAGCACTGAAGCAATTAAACTAGAGCTAGCCTTGGAATTTATTTTTTTAAGGTTAGTGAGTAACGAAGTGACAGGAAAAAGCTGTGATGCACTCTGAGCTCTCAACACTGGAGGAAACGTAGGTAAATAACATACAGGCCTCAAGAGGCATAAAACACATTCCACTTTTCAACTTTGCTGCATCAGGAATTTAAAAAAGAGCAAACGGCAAGAGCACTAAAATATTACACCGAGAGGTTACTGCAGGGATATTTTACAAGTCGTAAACAGCTATTGATCACTTATGTGATGCATTTGATACAGTATTTACAGATAATCCTCTCACCTGACTGTTTCTTCCTACCCGTCAGTAAAGAATGAATTATTTGACAGTGTTTGAGGATACAAAACATATTTCTGTTGCAAGTTGTTCGGCATAATGCTGCCTCACAGCAAGAGGGTCCTGGGTCTCAATGCAGTAATTAGTTTTAATTGTTTGTGTGCACATGTGAGAGAAAACCAGAGTAAAATGCACAGTCCAAAGGCATGCAGTTGGATAGGAGACTTTATTTTTCCAGTTTAAAGGTGACTCTATTAGCCCTGTGTTAGACTTGTGACCTATCGAGAGTGTACTAGCGTTTCGCCCGCTGCATGCTGGGATAGGCTGCTGTCCCCTGTGACATCCGTTTTCAACATTGGACAAGCAGTGTGGAAAATTGAACTACACTCACTACAAATACATTGCAATCAATCAAACATACTGGCAAAAGCGTGTTTGCAAATGTTCTGTGAATAAATTGAGATGAAACAAAATGTCCTCAACTGAAGTAAAAGCAAAGCAGCAGAAAACTCTCCAACGCCTTCCAGAAATATCACTGAAAAGTGGATAAACCAGAATAGATGGACTTAATAATTTTTGGCTCTTGGTCATGGTTTTGTAAGTCTTGAGAACATTGGCATTCTGACGTGGTAACCTTTGGAAATAATGACTGCTGCGTGGCTCCTTTCATCTTGGAGGCTTTTAGCCTCTCACATCTGAGCAGTACATCTGAATAAGGTAAAGTGTTGTTTGTTGTCACAGAGCATGAACGTGTGCATGAGCATGCTTGTTAACCATGGCTAAGTCGCTGCTGTTTGTTTCTGACAATGACTGATAAAACAGGTGTGCACAAGGTGCACTGGTGCTTAAAGACTGACCTGCTCGGAGCCACATGATGAGTGTCACATGTAAAATGGAGCAATAGTGTGTGACCAGAATGTACAATGGGGGCTTGCTGTAGGGGGCTATTGAAGGAAGCAGTGGAGAGTCTTTTTCAGAGACTAGCTGTGTGAAGTGAGGGATACAGACTCACATAAAGACCTATATGGAGGTAACAGTACTAATTCTTTCCAGAATGCTGTGCAGGATGTGGTTATGATATTGAACGCCTGACTGAGACTCGTTGTAAGCAACCGTCATAATCCAAACATCCCGCAATCAACCTATCTCGAGCAGCTTGAATCCTGACACAAATATTTAAATGAGAAAAATATGTCACCTGCTGTATAGCATATGGCATTTAAATTGCAGGAGAGCCGTCACGTTTTTTGCCCATGAGATGTGCCTCATGGTACCAGCCAGTCGCCCTCGGATAAAAAAAAAATTATTAGTGGCATCTGTCTCCCTCAAGAACCTCTGTTGTGCAATCATCCTGCCACTGTGGCAGCCTTTGACTGTTGCTCCTGACACTGTGTGTCAGAGCCTTTATATGGTCATTTAGATAAAGTGATATGATATCGTTATGTAAACAAGAAACAATGGCTGAGTCAAAGATACTCTATAGCAGAAGATGACGCATAACAAGCTGTGCCAGTGG